GGGTGAAAGTTTACCAAGCAAATTGGTTGTTCATTCAACAATTAATACACATTTTATTTTGTGACATTGATGCAATCCTTACAATGTAACAGCACTCTTCCTACTTCCTCCTTCTGTTTCCTGTTTCCACTTATTCTTTTCTCTTATCCCTTCCTGCTTTTGGTGATTTATCCCTGGACAACAGCTGTTCTTTCAATCTTATGTGGTTGATTGTGCTAAGGAGTGAGTACTCTGGTGTTATTGTTTACCTTATAGGCTTGTCTAGTGCTTGGCTGAAAGTTGAGCCACAGAGGTGAGTTCAGTTCCAGGCTTGAAGGGTGTCTAAGGGCAACAATCTTGAGGGTTCTATCAGCCTCTGTCAGACCAGTAAACCTGGTCTTTTTTTATGATTTTGAGTTTTGTTTCACATTTTTCTCCCACTCTATCCAGGACCTCCTATTGTGATCCTTTTCACAGCAGTCAGTAGTGATAGTCAGGTACCATCTAGTTCTTCTGGTCTCATGGTCATTGAGGTCAGGGTTCACATGGTCCATTAGTACTTTGAACTAATCATTTCCTTGCATCCTTAATTTTCTTCACACTTCTTTGCTCCAGATTGGGAGAGACCAATAGTACATCCTTAGATGACCACTCATAAGCTTTTAAGATCCCAGTCACTACTCACCAAAATAAGGTATAGAACATTTTCTTTGTGGAATATGTTACACAAATTGATATTTTTATTTTTAAATTATTATTATTTTTAATTGTGATTTGGGTGAAGGTTTACAGAGCAAATTCACTTTCCATTCAACAGTTCATACACATTTTATTTCTTGACACTGAGTGCAATCCCCATAATGTAACAGCTCTCTTCCTATTTCCTCCCTGTGATTACTTTCCCTGTGTCCTTCTTTCCTGTGCCTTCTTGCCTGCTGAGCTATTTCCCTGTGCAAATGCTACCCTTCGATGTCCCATGGTTGACTATTCTAAGGAGTAACTACCTGCTGTTATCGTTCACCTTGTAGGCCTATCTATTATTTGGCTTGAAGCCAAGGAAGTGAGTTCAATTCCAGGCCCAAAGGGTGACTAGAGGCCATTGTCTCAGGGGTTCCACCAGTCTCTATCAGACCAATAAGCCTGGTCTTTTTTATGATTTTGAGTTTTGGTTAACGTTTTTCTGCCACTCTATCCAGGATCTCCTATTTGGATCCTTTTCTGAGTGGTTGGCAGTGGTACCTGGCACCACCTAGTTCCTCCAGTCTCAAAGCCAAGTAGGCTGATGTTCACATGGTTCACTAGTCCCTTGGACTGTTTCCATGCATCTTTGATTTTCTTCATTCTTCTTTGCTCCAGACAAGGAGAGACCAATTGTTGCATATTAGATGGCTGCTTCAACCTTTTAAGACCCTAGTCACTACTCACCAAAGTAGGATGTAGAACAATGTTTTTGTGTAATATGTTATGCCAATTGATCATGATGTCCCCTGAGATGGTGCTCAGCCCACAGGCCCAGTGACTTATTCCTTCCAGGTATTTGGTATTTATAAAATAGCTTTGATTTTTATGTAAATTAAAACCACAGCACATCAACATTGATGTTAGAAATTGTGTTTAAAGCTTTATGGTCAGCATTGTGCACTTACTATACTGTGGGAAGAGAACATTGTTTCTAAATGGTGTTGGGAACAGAGAAACAAAAAACATGACATACATAAGCTCTTTGTTCACACAGTTGTAGAAGAATCTAGTAGCTGACATGGAAGTGGTCGGAAAAGGACATGAGCTTTGCATCTGGCCCACTATCTACTTCTAGGGGAAAGCATTGATAGATTTGATATTTTATAATATAATATATATTTTAGAATATATATAAAAGTACCTATATGCTATGAAAATTTGTATGGCTACATTTTATAAGTGTCTTGCAACAGACTCCTGTTTCCATGTTGTGTTATGTTTATTAGATAACCAATATATTTCAAGTAATTGCTTATTGAAATTCTTAGGAAGAATTAAATGTAATAAATCTGAAAAACTGATAAATCCACTATGATTTAATTGAATAATTATGCAAATCTGTCATGAATCTAACATTATATTAACCCTGGGAGAAAGGTAAAAGAAATATCAAACATAGCATCTAGTTTTAAGAAACTTTGAAACAATGAAAGATGAATAGAAGAACACATTCAATCAAAGATGACCTAACGCAACAAACACTATGAAGAACAATGAAAGCTCACAGGCTAAAGCCATGAGTGTAAAACTTAATCATAAGGAAAGCTTAAAGTGCATATGAAAGATAGAGGTGACTGCATATTAAAATAAGAGATATAAACTCACATACAATTAAAAATTATATGGTGTTTAAATAGCTTTACAATATGAATATGACAACAAAATGTTAAGCTGAAAATTGTGCTGAGGAAAGGAATATGTTCTTACAGGCTGCTCAGGAATACACCCACATGCACTCTGCTTGTCAATACAGTCCATTCAGGGAAACTGACCTTGATGCCTCCTACTCAGGCTATTGCTTTCTTTTAGAAATTTGGAACTTCGATGGAGAGTCACTTTCCCATTAGAAACAAGGAATTCGGAGAACTGAAAAACAGAACAACTTGAACACAGTTACCGGAGGGCAGGTGGAATCCTGCCAGAGACAAAGACGACAATCTCAGAATAGCCTCCAGTCAAATTTCAACAAGAAAGGAAACTGGACAATAGGTAAGGAGAATTTAAAATGGCTAAGGAGAAAGAACACAAAAAGATTATTAAATATATAAAGGATACCAGACATTAAACAAACATTTTACCACAGGTAAAGACAGATGTCTCAAGTACGTATCAAGTGACATCATTTTTATTATAAGAAATTATGCAGTTTTCCTCATCATTGTATCACTAGTCCCTAGCTTTTATTTAAAAAAAATATATTTTAAGAAATTAAAACTTATGTATAATGATAGAAGCTATCAACAGATTCTACAAGAAAAAGAATATCAAGAAGCATAGATTTGGGCCACAGAGTCTTTGTCCCAGCACTTTATGGAAAAATCTCCAGAGTGCCCAGAGAAAGAAAACACACACTGCAGCCCATGGGGCATTTCTTACCAGGCTCGCCTCAGTCACAGTCCTGAGAGCATGGTTTGCCAGTCTGTCTGATTCTTCTATCACGTTTTGAATGTTGGAATGGACATGGACTGCACTGGTTGCATTCAGGGACACATGTCTGACATTTTCAAGGCCACTATCAAATCAGCATAATTAGGTATGTTACAAATGAAATAAAACTTTCAGGTTTGCTCACTAAAATTGTAAGGACCCCTCATTCTAGAAAGCCTTCTGGTTTCCCCTTAAGAAAGTATCAGCAAAGACTAATAACATATGGCTTCTCCTCTAACTCCCAGAGTAATCTTTGAGAAGTGGTAATCACACTGTAATGCTAACAAAATCACTGTTTAATTCACACAGAAAGAAAAAGGGGCGATTGCTATTTCTCATCTTTTTGTTCACTCTTCAATTTCCATCAGTCACCTCACCCCTTATTTCTGTTCAAACCCATGCATATGTCTCTGGTGCTGTTGGACATTCGCACTGATTATTCTCCCCTGCAATGCACTTGTTACTTTTCAAAAACCTTGCCTAAGCATATATGAGGTTGTTGAATGTTATCATTCAAATGGTATGCACCAATTTGATGAAATTCACAAGAGATTTTGGAGGATGATCAGATAATATTTAAATCAGATGAACTTCATTCTTACAAGTGGGCAAATCACTTATGAACTTGCGAACTGGTAATGGTGCAATTTCATCCAGCTCTCTCTGTCTTCAAAATGAAATCTGACAATTGACACATCTTTACCTGAGTAACTCACTTCATTTTCTTCCCAAGGTATTGAGTTGAGTGATTTCCTAACCCATCACGAGCAGTTATTGCTTGTTACTATTTGATTGGCAAAACCCAGTGATTTATAAATAAAAGCTAGTGATGTTATTTAATTTTGTGTACTCTATCAATTTGCTTTTATTACTCTTATACTAAGTAATAAAGATTTTATTCTAGCTATGTAGCTAGTGAGAATATATTTTTCTGTTTTTGGAAATAATGAGAGGAGATTAAAAAAAAAAAGAAGAAATTAACTGAATACCCAGTTCCATTTTCTATCACTGATTCCTGAAGCATGTGTAGACCTTGGTATTCAGTTAAACATGTAATATACACAATATTCTATCTTACATCACTTTAATTGCTTTCTTTTATGATCCACAGCATTCCTCAAATTGGAAAGATATTTATTTCCCCTTTCACAAAACACACCCACACACCATAAAAACACATGTTTCCATGGGTCTAGACTCTTTCTACCATAATTTATGGCAAGTTTTCCACCCATAATTCATAACAAATTTTACCAGTTAGCTCAAAATATTGTGTAAATCACTGATAAGTCCTAAAACACCACTTCTTACATTTCTGCATGTGACAATCCCCTAGGGATCTTTAGGAAATTCTACAGCCCAGGCCACACCTCCGACAATTAAATCCCAATCTTTGAATTAGGGCATATTGGAAAGGCAGAGAGCAAGGGAACAAAGGTATCAGTACTTTTGAGAACAATAAGTATCCTTCTTCTTTAAAGTCATTTTTAATAGATTGAAGACATATTTAACAAATATTGAAAGACATACTATAGAATACAATGGTAGACCTCAGGCAGCAGAAAATAATTGAGGATGGAATCTTTCAGGGCTTAGGAAAGAGACCCTCAATCCTTCTATACTATATGCTCTATCCATGCATGTTGTTAAGTGCTGTTAGGTTGACTCTAGCCCCATAGCAACCTCCCTGAGACAGAGTAGAACTGCCTCTTAGAGTTTCCTGGGCTGTAATCTTTACAGAAGCAGATGACCAGCTGATTCTCCTGTAGAGCCACTGGGTGGATTTGAACTGCCAACCTTTCAGTTAGCAGCTAAAAGCTTAACCATTTGTATCACCCAAGCTCCTTCCATCCATGCACAAAGCCACCCAGATCATAAGTTCCAAAAAGGGAAGGCATGTAAAGAAGTTAATATCCTTGTTCTGACACACATGCAACCTATGAAGGCACTGAACACTTAGTAGGTGCTTAAAAAGCCTTAAGGACTTGATATTACAACATCATATTCATTTTAATTTATATCCACTTCCGTTTGCATTTTTTTCCATCATATGTTTATTCTGATGTTATTCAGTAAACAATGTTACCAGATGTGGGAGGATGTTCTACTTGACATGTAAAATACAATGGAAGTCCTGATGTTTGTACAAAGGAAGAAGAGTGACAACATTGAAAATGAAGTAGTCATTCTTATTTTCTTTGATCAATGGATCATTACCTCTCAAATTTCTATGAAGGTATGGTCTTACCTGTCCAGAACACCTGATAGTCTTTTGAGCTCAGTGGCATGATCCTCAGCTCTGTAGACAAGGTCAAGTGCTTTTCTTCTGGACATCTGCATGACCAAATCATCTACATGGCCCCTGAGTTTAGCATTCCACAGAAGCAGCTCATCCCGGTGGTGCTCTAATGGCTATGTAGAAAAATCAGTATTTCAAATACATGCCTCTCTTTAGTAGTGTACCAGTAAATCAGTTCCATCAAGTTGATTCAGACTCATGGTGACCCCATGTGTATCAGAGTAGAACTGTGCTTCATGGACTTTTCAATGGCTGACTTGTTTTATTTCTTTTTAACTTTTTATTGTGATTTGGGTAAATTTTTATAAAGCAGATTCATTTTACATTCCACAGTTCATGCACATTTCTTTTTTGTGACACTAGTTACATTTCTTGCAGTGTAATAGCTCACCTCCTACTTCCTCCCTGTGGTTACTGTTTTCTTGCATCCTTCTTGCCTATACATTCCTGCCTCCTTACCTTTCTGCCTGTGAAAATGCTGCACTTCTAATCTTCCATGGTTGATTGTTCCAAGGAGTGCTTCTCCCTGGTATAGGTGTTCAGCTCATAGGTTTGTCTATTGTTTGGCTGAGAGTTAAGCTACAGGAGTGAGTTCCACTCCAGGACTAAAGGGTGTCTTAAGGCCACAGTCTTGGGGGTTTCATCACTCTCTTTAAGACCAGTAAACCTGGTCTTTTTTTTTTTCATGAATTTGAGTTTTGTTACACATTATTTTACCCACTCTATCAAAGATCTCCTATTTTGATCCTTTTCTGAGTGGTTGACATTGGTAGCTGGGCACCATCTAGGTTTTCTGATCTCAGGGTCATATAGGTTGAGTTTTTCACAGTCCATTAGTCCTTTGGAGTAACTATTTCCATGCATCTTTGATTTTCCTCACTTTTCCCAGCTCTGGATGAGGAGAGACCAATTGTTGCATCTAGATGACCACTTCTAAGCTTTTAAGACCCTAGTTGCTACTCACTGAAGTAAGATGTAGAACTATATTTTTGTATACCATTTATGCCAATTAAGCTTCATGTCCCCTTTGGCCAGGGCCCCTGGTCCACAGGCCCAGTAGCCCACACTCGCTCAAGATGCTTATATGTGGCTAAGAAGTTATCTTAATTTTGCTTCCTGTTATGTTTAAACTGCATATTGACATTTTTATAGCACATAAAATTACATATGTCGAATGTTTTCTGAATGGCTGACTTTTTGGAAGTGGATCACCAGGGCTTTCTTCTAAGGCACCTCTGGGTGAACTTCCAACCTTTTGGGGAGCAGCTGAGCATGTTGCCCATTTCTGCCACCCAAGGACTCCTAATAATATACATGTATGCATATATGTGAGGTGTATGAGGATTCTTTTGACACAGTATTGAAGCAGTGCTGAGAGTAACTTACAGTTAGAGCATTTTGGGCAACGTTTGCATAAGCAGTGGCAGCATTTATCAATCCTTTTCCTTTGGCAATTAGCTTTGAGGTCAACTTTTGTTCTTCTTGAACATGCAGCTTTTTATCCTGCAGCAAAAACCACCTGTTAAGGATGCTACATAAAAGTAAGTCAGCTTCCTAACACTCGTGGTGTCCAATGCTATGTGCTAAGGTTAATACTAGGGAGCTCACTTTTTAAAGTGCTCACAATGATATAGTTTACATTGGAGAATTTGGCACCAGGTCTAATTAAGAAGGCGAGAGCAGCTTGAGACTCACCTTGAATTCTCGCAAGGTGGCATTGATAATGAGTAGCAGGTGGCTGCTTTCCTGGGTCTTTCTATCTGCTTCATGCACTAGGTCTTCTGCCACCTGAAGTTCACTGCTATATTTTGAAAGGAGGTTGTTGGCTGCTTCTTTTAATACCTTCACCTCTTCCTGTGGCTTCTGGTAATTCTTCTGAATCTGTGACAGTAAATCTTCAGCAGCTCTGATAGACATAAATAGCTCACATAGTAAATACATGGGCAATAAAGCTTAGATCTCAAGGGGCGTAGAAGGAATATTTACAGATTTATACTTAGCTTCTTTCTTCTTGAACTCATAAGTGATAAATCATAGACTCTTAAAAACAGAAACATTTTGTTATGACAGATATAGGTTTGGAAGATTTATACTTTACCCTTAACAAATTATATTTATTCACAAACTTCCTAACACATTTTAGTAATGGAATTAAAAGAAATCATTTCAATAACCCTGGATTTGGAAAAGTGGGACTATACTGCATGTATATGAATGATGGAAACGGTGATCCTCCATCACAATGTGGTGAGAAATTGAAGGAAGAAGGCTATCCAGCGGTTTGCCATGAATTTACCAAATGTATTGATGTGATATAAAAGTTTTTAAGAAATAGATTTTATAAAAACATTCAAATTCAAATTACCAGAAAGATAAAATTTGTGCCTTTGATAAATGCAAGCTTCAGAAAAGACAGTTTTTCCTGTCTTCATATGTACACTATCAAATTGCTTATTCAAATCAATTTTGAATTAATAGCTAAATAGAATAATACATTTTCACACTACAAATCTTTGCAATGGTTGAACATATCCCATTAACTTTCAAAAGTTTCATGGAAAATGCCTTGTAAAACACCCTTAGCCTTCACAGATGTCAAATCATTGGGTTAAGACAGCAAAGAAAGCATTTTTCACTAGTATATATTTAAACACTAATAACATTAGAACAATATCAGGAGTTATTTGAACTTTTTCTTTATTTTTGTGATTTGGGTGAAAGTCTACAGAGCAAATTCACCTTCCATACAGCAGTTCACAAATACTTTGTCTTATGACATTGACTACAGTTTACCCCAATGCAACAGCTCCCCTCCCACTTCCTCCCAATAGTTACCTCTTCCCTGTGTCCATCCCTCCATGCACTCCTGCCCCCTGAGCTGTCTCCCTGTGCATAAACAGCCATTCTTTCTCCCATGATTGTTCTCTACAAAGAGTGTATCTACCTCAGGTAAATGTTCAACTCATATGCCTGTCTTTTGTTTGGCTAGAAGCCATAGGTGTGGGTTCAATTCCAGACCTGAAGGGCAGCTAGGGACCATAGTCTCAGTGGTTCCACCAGGCTCCATCAGACCAGCAAACATGGTTCCCCCTCCCCTATTTTTTTCCAAATGATTTTGAGTTTTGTATTTGAACATTTTTATGAATTTAATGATAATAAAGACATTACATTATGAAGCAGTTAACAAGAGCTAAAACAAAGTACATGGTAAATACATAAGTATATCCTACATATTTGTCTGATCATGAGTTTATCATTCCTGACTATTAATAATGATATTTGATTTAAAAATATATTTTTTTGTGTGTGAAAAAGGCCATAAATAGCCAAACCAATCTTGAAAAAGAATGAAGTAGGAGGACTCCTACTTTGTGATTTCAAAAGGTGTAGCTATAAAGCTAAGGTAATCAAAACAGCATAGTACTGGTGTAAGTATAGACATATAGACCAATGGAATAGAATTGAGAGTTCAGAAATAAACCCATATATCTATGGTGAATTTATTTTTGACAAGGGTGCCAAGCCCATTTAGTTGAGGAAAGAATAGCCTCTTCAACAAATGGTGCTGGGGCAAATGGATTTCTGCACACAAAAGAATAAAGGTGGACCAAACCTCATACTTCATACAAAAATTAACTCAAAATGCATCAATGACCTAAACATAAGAACAAAAATCATAAGACTCTTAGAAAGAGACATACGGGTTAAGTTTTGGTTCCTAGTTTTTGAGAATGGATTCTTAAGTATGACAACAAAAAATAGATGAATTACATTTCCTCAAAATTACACACTTTGTGCACCAAAGGACTGTGTTAAGAAAGTGAAGAGGCAACCTACAGAGAAAATATTTGCAAACCATATATATGATAAAGGCTCAATATCCAGACTATATAAAGAATTCCTACCATTCAACTAAAAACAAACAACCCTATTAAAAAACAAGCAAAAGATTTGAATGGTCAATAAGCACATGAAATATGCTATTAGTGATTGCCTAGACAACTCAACGGCACATAACAACAACAATAGACCTATTGCTGTTGAGTTAATTCCAACCCATAGTGACCCTATAGGACATAGTAGGACTGTCCCATAGGGTTTCAAGGCTGCCATCTTTACAGAAGCAGACTGTCGCATTTTTCTCCCACAGAGCAGTTAGTGGGTTCTAATAGCAGACCTTTCTGTTAGCACCCAAGTCAAGTGCTTAATCATTGCATTCCCAAGACTCCTTATTAGTCATTGTTGTTGTTATTTGCCATCGAGTCAGCCCCGACTCATAGCGACCCCTCCTTGGGTTTCCGAGGCAGTATCACTACGGAAGTAGGATTGCCCAATCTTCCTTCCGAGGAGTGGCTGGTGGGTTTGAACGCCAGCCTTCTGGTTAGCAGTCAAGTGCCTTAGGCACTATGCTACCAGAGCTCCTAGTCATTAGGGAAATGTAAATACCAGAGCTTAGTCATTAGGGAAATGTAAATCAAAACCATAGTGAGATACCACCTCATACCCACTTACTGCTGTCAAGTTGATTCCGACTCATAGTGACCCCTCCTTGGGTTTCCGAGGCAGTGTCTCTATAGAAGTAGGTTGCTCAGTCTTCCTCCTGAGGAGTGGCTGGTGGGTTTGAACCACCAGCCTTCTGGTTAGCAGTCAAAATGCCTTAGTCACTACACCAACCAAACCCACTATCAACTAGTTGATTCCTACTAATGGCAACCTTGTAGGACAGAGTAGAACTGCTCATGGGTTTCCAAGGCTATAAATCTTTATGGAAGCAGACTGCTTCATCTTTCTCTGGCAGAGTGGCTGGTGAATGGCCTACCTTTTGGTTAACAGCTGAGTGCTTTAACATCTGTGTCACCAGAGTGCCTCATACCCACTAGGATAATTATTATCAGAAAATAGCAAGTATTGACAAGGATGTGTGGAAATTGAAACCTTCATGCATTGCTGGTGGGAATGTAAAATGGTGTAGCCACTACAGAAAACTCTCTGGCAGGTCCTCAAAAATATTAAACATGGAATTACCATCCATATGACCCAGGAATTCCACTCCTACGTATATACCCAAAAGATTGAAAGCAGGAACTCACATAGATACTTATAGACTAGTGCTCATTGCCTCATTATTCACAATAGACAAAAGATGGAAATCTCTCGAGATCCATCAATAGTTGAATTGATAAACAAAATGTAGTATATACATGCAATGGAATATTAGTCATAAAGAGAAATGAAGTCCTGATGTATGCTATAATATGGATGATCCATGAAAATAGGCTGAGTGAAATAAGTCAGACACAAATACTGTATCTCACATATATGAAAAGGTGTAAAGAAAAAATTCACTAGTGGTTACCAGGGGATAGAGTGGGAAAGAAATAGGAGTTATTCCTTAAGGCATACTGAGTTTTCATTTGGAGTGTTGACAATATTTGGAAATGGATAGATGTAATAGTTCCAAAACATGGTGAATGTAACTAATGACATTGAATTGTACACTTAAAAAGGCCGAAAATGGCAAGTGTTTTATTTTACATATATATAATTACAATAAAAAGATCTGATAAATTTTACAATACACGTCAAATTTTTATCTGAAATGATATTACTATCTAAACTGCAACCAAATGAATTGGCATTGACATCAATGACTTTATTAAAAAAAGATTCAAAAATTTTTTAAAAGTTTAAAAAAAAAATTTTCTCACAACTCTTCATTAGCTTCTTCCTGCAGAGTTTACTGAATTCATACAGTAAATCAGTGTTTTTCAAAATACATTTTTTTGTGACACTGGAGTTCCATGAGAAAAGAGTTCCTTGGTGAAGCGAGTTTTAGTTTGTTCTTCAGGCCCTTCTTGGTGATCCATGATGCACGGGCCAGCCCACTAAAAGCTTTGAGAAGATTCACAGTAAAGAATTTTCTTTCTATACTAGACACTGCATTTTCTGAACTTATCTTGCCATGTTGTTGTTAGGGGCTATCAAGTTGACTGCAACTCATAGCAACCCTATGTACAATGAAACTGCCTGGTCCTGCACCAGCCTCACAATTCTTGCTATATCTGAGGCCATCGAAGGGCTTTCACCTTTTTTGTTGATCCTCCATTTTACCAAACATGATTTCCTTCTCCAGGGAATGGTCCCTTCCGACAACATGACCAAAGTAGGTGAGACAAAGTCTGGCCATTCCTGCTCCCAAGGAACATTCTGGCTGTACTTCTTCCAGGACAGATTTGTTAGTTTTTCTGGCAGTCCATGATACCTTCAGTATTCCTCACCAACACCACAACTCAAAAGCATCAACTCTTCTTCGGTCTTCCTTATTCATTGTCCAGCTTTCACATGCACATGAGGAGATTGAAAATACCATGGCATAGGTTAGGCACACCTTAGTCTTCTAAAAGACATCCTTGTTCTTCTGCACTTTAAAGAGGTCTTTTGCAGTAGATTTGCTGCTTTTATTGGTGTTGATTGTGGAACCAAGTAATATGAAATCTTTGGTAATGTCAATCTTTTCTCCATTTACCATGATGCTATTTATTGGTCCAGTTGTGAGGATTTTCATTTTCTTTACATTGAGATGTAATCCATATTGCAGGCTGTGGTCTTAATCTTCATTAGTAAGTGCTTCAAGTCACCCTCACTTTCAGCAAGCAAAGTTGTGTCCTCTGCATACCACAAGTTGTTAATGACTCTTCCTCCAATCCTGATGCTAAGCTCTTCTTCATATAGTCCAGCTTCTTGGATTATTTGCTCAGCATACAGATTGAATGGGGCTCTGGTGGTACAGTGCCTAAGGCATTTGACTGCTAACTAGAAGGTTGGTGGTTTGAACCCACCAGCCACTCCATGGAAAGAAGACTGGGCCATCTACTTCTGTAAAGATTTATCACCTTAGAAATCCAAAGGGGGGGTCACATGAGTTGGAATTGACTTGATGGCAGTGAACAGATTGATTAAGTATGGTAAGAGGATACAACCCTAATGTACTCCCTTCCTGATTTTAAACCATGCAGTATCCTCTTGTCTGTTCAAATGACAGCCTCCTCATCTATGTAGAGGTTCCTTGTGAGCACAGTTAAGTGTTCTGGAATTCCCATTCTTCTCAATGCTATCCATAATTTGTTATGCTCCACACAATTGAATGCTTTTGCATAGTCAATAAAGCAGAAGTAAACATCTTTCTGGTATTCTTTGCTTTCAGCCAAGATCCATCTGACATCAGCAATGGTATCCTTTGTTCCATGTCCTCTTCTGAATCCAGCTTGCATTTCTAGAAGTTCTCTGTCAATATACTGGTCCAACCGTTTTTGAAATATCTTCAGCAAGATTTTACTTGCATGTGATATTAATGTTATTGTTCAATAATTTCCACATTCTGTGGGATCACCTTTCTTTGGAATGGGTACAAATATGGATCTCTTCTAGGCAGTTTGCTAGGTAGCTATCTTCCACATTTCTTGGCATAGATGAGTAAGTGCATCCAGTGCAGCATCTGCTGGTTGAAATATCTCAATGGATATTCATTCCATCAATTCCTGGAGCCTTCACCAATTCCTTTAGTGCAGCTTTAACTACTTCCTTTGATACCATTGGTTCTTGATCATATGCCACCTCCTGAAATGGATGAACATCGTCCAATTCTTTTTTGTACAGTGACTCTGTGTATTCCTTGCATCTTTTTTTTTTTTTTTTTGATGCTTCCTGCATCATTCAATATTTTGCCCATAGAATCTTTCAACATTGCAACTTGAGGCTTGAAGTTTTTTCCTCAGTTCTTTCAGCTTGAGAAATGCTAGGCATGGTCCTCCCTTTTGGTTCTCTAACTCCAGGTTTTTGCACATTTCATTATAATAATTGACTTTGTCTTCTTGAGCAGCTCTTTAAAATCTTCTGTTCAGCTCTTTTGTCTTGTCATTTCTTCCATTTGCTTTAGCTATTCTCCACTCAAGGGCAAGTTTCAGAGTCTCTTCTGATATCCATTTTGGTCTTTTCTTCCTTTCCTGTTCTTTTTAATGACCTTTGCTTTCTTCATGGATGATGTCCTTGATATCATCCTACAATTCCTCTGGTTTTTGGTCACTGGTGTTTAATGCATCAAATCTATTCCTTAGATGGTCTCTAAATTCAGGCAGGATATAATCAAGGTCATATTTGGGCTATCGTGGACTTGTTTTAATTGTCTTGCCATAGAACATACTTCTCAAAATGAAATATTTTTTAATAGCTCTGGGGGCATACTGGGAAACAATGACCCCATGGTATGCAGTGAAGGGTCAACACAGCAGGCCAAATTGCCATCTTCAGACAGGCCTGTGTGCAAGGTTAGCCCTAGCTGGCATCTGTGAGCTTAGAATTTGGGAGGCCTCCCAGGTTTCTTAACTGACCAAGATGGTTTATTATTTGTGCAAATGATATGCTATATTGAACTACTTTCCTTCTGGGATCCTGGGATTTCGTTGTGTGTTAGAACAGCTCAAGACTGGGTGGGTCAGGGCAAGACCTGCAGGTAGGTGTATGTACAAGGGCACAACTGAGGCCTTACTTCAGGCAGTAACAGGGTTTTAGGGTTAATGTTCAAAAACTTGATTCAGAGTGATAATCACCCACTGCTCCTGACTTCTGCACAAACTTTTCAGCTGAGCTCTTGTCTTTCACACTTCCAGTGCTATCTTACATCGTGTCTCTTCACCTGTGTCAGATTATAATCCACATTTCTGTGCTCCTGACCTTTTGCTTACTTACTCCCATCACCTTAAATGTCATAAATTTTGCTGTGTCTAATGGCCATAATTTCACCCAGAGTATATGGGCCGAGTCTCAAATGACATGTTCTACTGTAATCCATTGGCTATTTTTTGGAAGTATGCCACTGGCTTTTTCTCCCTAGTCTGTTTCAGTCTGGAAGATATGCTGAAACCTATCCACCATGGGTGATCCTGCAAGTATTTGATATACTGATGACAAAGCTTTCAGCATGATAGCAACTTGCAAACCACCACAGTACAATAAACTGACAGGAGGGTGGTGAACTGCACAGGTAGCCACTGACTGTAGTTTTTCTTCTATGAGAGTTTATTGCATTACACATGATCTGTACTAAATACAGTAGTCATGAGGTTCTATTATTCATGCTAGGTGGGAATGTTGTTCCAGAGCCATGGAGGGGGGCACCTATTACATAATTGCACAAAGATTGGCATTGATTACACTTACTTCTATTTGGAGAGACTGGTACCCATCTCTTAATTTACTTGATAACAGGGTCCCTCTCTTCTCTTAAGGTATTTAATCTTTGGTGAGAGCTTTCCTTTCATCCTGTTCTCCCATTATGCCTTCTTCTCTTTCAGCATTCAAGCTCTACCTCTAGTTGCCTGTATCATGAATAATAGTACTTAGGAACTTACTTGAGTTCAATGGTAGCATTTTGGTGTAACTGCTTGAAGTGCATTTTCTGTATGGCTTCCAGCAAAGATGTAATGTTCTCTTGCATATTTTGAAGAGCATGACTGGGTACCTGGAAATTTTCATCCAAGGTCTGATTTAAAGTTGTTGCTTTTTCAATAATTTCTAGGGAGAAAATGCATCAGTATCATTTAGTAAGTTTCTCAAAAGTTGACAGTACTAAATGGAAAAACCTAGAATCTTCAATGAGGTTGCTCTGTTTATTTAGTCTGGGTTGGACCTCCAGGCCAGGCTAGGCCAGGCCACTCTATATATACCAATGCAATCTAGACAACTCTTAACAAAACATCCACAGATTTGGGTTATCTGTCCTCCCCAGAATCCAAAATAAATGCCATAAAGGTAGGGGCTATGTCCATTATGTTTACCTCAGCATTTTCCTGCACCTGGCACAGATATAGCATACAGATGGTACTCATTAAATATTTACTGAGTAAGTGTAATACTTGACAATACTGGTTACTTGACATTACGCTTTAACATATTTTTTTGTTTTAATAATTTCTTTATCTTTGCCCTATAAAGTCTGATTTCCATTAGATTCTGTACTTTTTTTTAACACTATAATCAGAAAAGAAAAATCAGATATGTTTCTGTCAGCCAGAAAGACTGCAAATAGCATAATAAAATCCAAATCAGATAGGACATCCTAACTGAGCAGTGAGATGTGGCACTCACATTTATTGATAGGTTTAATAAAAGGAATATCCTTTTTTCTACCACATATGCAAAGGTCCCCTGTCCCTACCCCATACTGGATACTGGTCACATTCAGTGGTGTCACTAGAGTTGGTGTCATACAGTGCAGTAACTCATGGTGTCACACCCCTCTCACTCACTCCTTGTGGGTGAGCTAGCTAGTGAACCCCTTGCCTGCTGTTGCCACAGACCCTAGGGTCATTTTGGTGTCACCCACTCTGACAGTATCAGGGGATGTAGTCTACACCCCTGTATCCTCCTAGTGATGCCACTGGTCATACTACCTATGATGTTTATCTGTAGCTTCTCAATAAATGTCCTGAGGTCTTCACTCTTGTTGCGGACTCTTGCAGTCATGCTGTTCACATGTTGGCTATTTGTCAACACTCTAGTGAGCTAACAGAAAAGAAGTGTCAGGTCAGTTTGACTTTAAATATGTAAACTTTGGTATTTCTAGTTGTTGCTACTTTTAAACAGCAAAATATTCCAGATTATATAGTAAAGATTCACACTATCATGTAAATCAATTAGTGTTATGTAAACATGTACGTGCACACACACATGAAATTCAACAACTGAAATTTTTAAAACTTAAACTTACCCCTTGATCACCATCTGCAAATGAGGATATTCTTTTTGGGTCACTAAAAATCATTCATCTGGCATGGCTTAAACAGAATAAATAATTCCCCGCCTAAGGTATTTGACTGCTAACCAGAAGGCTGGTGGTTCAAACCCACCAGCCACTCCTTGGAAGGAAGGTTAGGCAATCTACTTTCTTAGTGATAACCGCCTTGGAAACCCAAGGAGGGGTCACTATGAGTGACTCAACTCGATGGCAGTGAGTTTGGGTTTTTGGTTTGGGTGTAAAAACTAGCTTCAACTTGCCATACAATGTCAACAAATCAAAACCTCCAGCCCAGAACCTGCCTTCTGCATGGACACAGGATGGTGAGGTTTGGGTTGTACCCACTTATTCAGGGAGCTGCCGAAAGTCCCCCAGTTGTCAGCCGCTGAGCCAGCCCAGCACTCACCATGGCTCTGTTAGAATAAATTTAAGAGATGGAAGAATCCTCGGGAATTTCAAGAACTCCACCTATCATGGTTTAGAATTCAAATAGTGAGGGATTTGCCCAGCCGACCCTCAGCAGAGGTGACAAGGGAAATTATAATGTCAGTTTCCTTTTCCCACTAAAGTATAGAAACTGGCAGGGTTAAAACCAATTTGATGGTAAATACCGCAGCACAGCCCAGGGGGAAAGAGGCTGCCAGATGTAACCAGCACCTTCAGCCCAGTGTGTGTGACTGCTCACAGGGCTGCTGGGAGGGACCCGCAGGAAGAGGAGCAGAGTTTACCTCCTTTTGCAAGTCCTGGGTCTGTTCTGCGACACCTTCCAGTTGAGTCTTTGCCAGTTCCTTTTGTGCATTTTCTTCCAATAAAGATGCCTAAGAAGAAGGAAGGAAACAAAGTACAATGTTTCAAAATGAGATGTTCTAGTTCTTAACTGAGAATCACTTTTTATTTACTTTTCTTTCCCCCATGGAAATTTTTCTTTCCTTGAAATTGTCATAAACATGCAAACCTAACATCTATATCAAAAACACAAAAAGAATCACATTTTACCATATTTTTTCTGAAGTTTTGATTATGTCAACATGATTTCATACTATCATCTTTTGTATTATATTTACAAAATAGATACAAATAATAAAAACTGTCTTTTAAGGCAGAAACATGAATGTACACAAAATTATAGATAGATAATCAGGGATTTCATCATCATAAAATCAACCCATCCTTTACATACATAATTTTTACTAGATTTAGGGAGAATCATATTATGTAAAAATTTAGTTACTTGGGTAATGTCAGATAAGGGAGTTTTCTTAAATTAAAAATCTAGTATGTTGACTGGAATACACTGCTGCTGCAATTCTTATATAAGAATCTGGCTTTATTACAATATCAGATTCATATACATTTTAACTATAATTGCCAATAACATAAAAAAAATGCTTACTAGGCTAAAATACAAAACTATTACATAAAAAAAAGTCTTCATAATGAAGAGATACTAAGCGCTCAATTTTTGGCAGGAATCTTCTAATTTCAATACTTGTGTGATTTTTATTTAAACTTTATAACCATCCTACCAGCCAGCTGCATTATTGTTCTTATTTTGCCTTGAGGAAATTTTAGGAATGTGTGGGGTTCAGGAACGTGCTTAAGGGCACAGTACAGTGCAGTAGTGAAACCAGTCAGCTTTGTGTCTGGAGCCCACATTCCTAATCTCAGCCACGGCCTTCACATAAGCATAAAAAGTTATGTAAAGGATGGACACGTGATTTAGATCAGTGCAAAACCATTCACGGGTAGTAAAACCAAAACCAAACACCCTGCGGTGGAGGCAGACTCAAACAGCCCCATAGGGTTTCCAAGGCTGTAAATTTTTATGGAAACAGATTGCCACATCTTTCTCCTGCAGAGCTGCAAGTGGGGTCGAACTATCAACCTTTCTGTTAGCAGCTAACTGCTTCAATCACTGTGTCACCTGGGTGCCTTTCACAATTAGTGTCAAAAATTTTTAAGTATTTAGTTTACTTGGTAAATTTAAAGGACATTTGTATCACTGAGGCCCACACTGACAGTAAATTATATTTGATGGTGAATATATCAATTGGAAAATAAATTCAAATATTTCTTTCATGTCTTTTTTTTAAATTGTGTGTATAAAACCTCTCATCTTTTCAAAATCATTTTCGCTTTTGAAAAAAGAAATAACATAAAAACATCTCTTTGACTTTCTTAACCTTTCTTTACTGCTGTTATGTCTATAGGGAAAAGATCATTGTAAACAAGAAAGGATGACTGACCCAGGAAGCTTCCAACACACACACACACACACACACACACACAACCACACACATGTACTCCTATATTCATGTACTCACACATACCAAAAGAAATATTAAATTTAAGGAAAGCTTTCATTTAACAAAGGCATTCAGGAATGACTATACTTTCTATGACTATATTACACAGTATATAAATTATCTCAAAATCTAATGTATAGGTAAAAAGCAAATTTAAAATCACAATTTTTTTCCCATTTAGAATGAAAAATGTTGAGTAGGATCTTGTCTACTAAGTCAGCTTGACACCTTTTTTTGAACCCAGACCCTGCTTGACAAAATATAAACTATGGTGTGTCCCATAGATTTTTTAAAATATATTTTATTGAAATATAATTTACATACATTGAAATATACAAAACTAAAGTGACATGGGTCGATGCATTTTTTTTTTCTTCAGTGTTGCTCCCATAGATTTTTATGTAGTCTTTCAGAGAAGAGGGACTTTTGTGCCCTGTAGCCCCAGGTAAAAATAATACATTTATAGAAAATAATTGATCTTTAGTATCCTTCACCATTAAAGAAGAAACTGTCCAGATTCTTTTGCTGTATTTGTATTAGAACTATCTTCAAATATCAAAATTCTGTCTTAAAGAGAAAGGATTGGACTTTGTATTATTTCAAAAGGCAGAACAAGGGCTATGGAGGAAGAATTTATAAGGAAGCAACCATGGAACAACTTTTAAACAACGAGAGCTGTCCCACAGTGAAACAAGTTGGCTTGTATGATGATAAGGTCCCTGTCACTGGTCATGTTCAAGAAAAGGCTGGAAACCATCAGTCATGGATGTTGGAAATGAGACCCCCTACACATAGAGAGGACACACAAAATGACTTCTATAGTCCCAACTGACTCCATTTCTCAATGATACATGTTTCTGTCCATATCTATATGTCTTGTACCTACCCTGAGGTATTTAGTTGTATTTTCCAAGTTTGACAAGATTCCATATGGGATAGGAATGATGCTGGTGAGGTTGACAGAAAGAATGATATCACCAATGTTATCTAAGTCATTCAACAGCACACCTACACATTCATCATCACAAGCTGAAAGAAAAGGGAAAAAAAGAAGAAAATTAAAGTTGATGCAAAGCTGTTTACACATTTTCACATGGGCTTGCATAAGCCACTTGGTAGTAATAAGATATACTGGCATTAGAAAGTCCTTCCAGGTACCACATCTGATTTCATTTTCATATCAACTGTGTGATGGGAGGAACGGTAGGATATACTAAGCCAGTGTCCTCAAATGATAGCCCTCATACTCAGGTCAGGTGAGTGACTTCCCTGGAGTCACACTGCACTGACCCGCACAGTCCATTTGCTAATCTTCAACTTGAACTAACCAAAGCCAAAACCAAACTCACCTCCATCGGGTTTCCAAGGCTGTAAATCTTTACGGAAGCAGATTGCCTCATCTTTCTATTGGAGAGTAGCTGGTGGGTTCAAACCATCAACCTTTTGGTTATCAGTCAAATGCCTTAACCACTACACCAACAGAGCCCCTTTTAACTTGAACTAGTTGCAATTAAAGGCACTCTGGTGGTATAGTGACTAAGGTATTTTGACTGCTAACCAGAAGGCTGGTGGTTGAAACCCACTAGCCACTCTGCATAAGGAAGATTGGGCAATCTACTTCCGAAGAGATACTGCCTCGGAAACCCAAGGAGGGGTCTCTATGAATCGGAATGATAGCAGTGAGTTTGGTTTGTTTTGATTTAGTTACATCATGAATTCCAAATGTGTTTCCTTTTTAAAGCCTGGTTGATCATTGAATCAGATAGTTTGTAGACACACATTCAGCAGGTACAAATGAAGTAGACTGGAGAAAATAATGAGAGAATTCCATGACTTTAACAGTACTTCTTCTCCTCTTCCCCATAAACCACGGAGAAGAAGACATGCCAAGATTACTATGCCAGGCACTGACTATTAAAATAAATCATAATTGGGAAACAAAAAATTTTCGGGAAAAAAATCCATGATAGCAAAGAACTGAAGATGTTGTAAAACTTGGATAACAGAAATGACAATCCCACAAAGGTCTTCACTTCTGAACTGGCTGACTGTTGATCCTCCAATGGAAATATTAATGGCAGCTAAGCAATAAAGCTGAATTTACTATGTTTCTTAGACTGCCAAATTAAAAAAACAAAAAAATGTTCAAAACCACTGTAGTCTCATTTGAGATTAGGTTTTTCTTTGTTAAAATAATGAATTTGTAACAGCACCGTGTGTGTTTTAAACCAATAACTTTTGAGAGATAAAAAAAGGAGATTAGGCACAACAAAGGAAGCAGCAGACACATGAAGATCACCGAGGAATGCCGGAGAAGCTGACAAGGATTTTCCCTAGAGTGGCCAGAGAGACCACTTGTCCCTACAAAAACTTAGACCTCCAGCCTTCTAAACGGTAAGAAAATAAGTTTCTGTTTGTTGCAGCCACCCACTGTGGTATTGCTGTTATAGCAGCAGTAGATAACTTAGACAAATGTACTCCTAAAAGTGCAACATAGCAGATGCTATTACAATCTATGTTTGATTTAAAAAAAGAAAAAAAAGTTCTATATTATAAGAAGAATAATACTTTCTCTGTCTTGATGACAATTTCCTCACAAAGAAAAACATTGGAGAGGAAACCCAGGTTGTAAACCCATAGAGGAGAAATCCTCACAAATGCAGTCACTCTCCACTAGGATGTGCCTGGATTCACACTTGTCACATCGCAGCCCCATGGCCCCTGGTTTGCAGACACACTGCCCGGAGTAGCCATCACAGGAACCGTGTGCTGAGCCTTGAGGACTGCATTCACACTTCTGGCAGCTGCCCCCCACAGCTTGAGGATTCCCATGATAACCTGAAGAGCACCTAGAGGAAGGAAGATATTTTACAAAGTATAATGCCCAACAGCAAGCAAATACATAAACCCCTTTGCCCAAGGACAACCATCATTTCTGTGAAATGATCAAAAAAAGATCAAAAGATCCATTTACCTCATTCTATGACTTATTTCCTAACAGAAGGATGAGATGGTGGTAGAATGTGCATTTACTATCTCAACAAGTAGAAGAATATGTGTTTTGGAATAGTGATAAGATCCTGGATCAATCATGCAAACCCAAATTGAGAATGACTTCTAACTCACTTTAGTAAATATCTTCAGCATGTTATTTAGAAAGCAGGAGCAGAAGTACCTGGCACTTTCCTTGTGATAAGCCAACAGCATACCTTTCACAATATTGTCCTTCGTAGCCTGGAAAACAGGCATCGCAACGGAAATCCTGATCCCCTTCCAGGACACAGGTGGCACTGAAACTGGAGGAAAAGAATTTTTTTTTTTTTTTTTTAATCTTCAGATATATAATTTCAAGTATTTCTTAAGGTAGCTTCAATACTATTGGGATACATGATACATTCCTAACCACTATACTGGGAAACTAGACAAGATTTTTAGGGATTATAATCTACTAGGCTAAAGGAAGGGAGCTCTGGTAGCATAGTGGCTAAAACACTTGACTGCTAACCAGAAGGCTGGCGGTTCAAACCCACCAGCCACTCCTCGGAAGGACAGTTGGGCAATCCTACTTCCGTAGTGATACTGCCTTGGAAACCCAAGGAGGGGTCGCTATGAGTTGGGGCCGACTCGACTGTACATAACAACAACAACAGGCTAAAGGAAAGAAACTAAGTATATAATCAGTACAAATGTGTGCATAACTTGCATCCAAAAGAAGTTCATTAGATGCCTGTCTAGTGACAATTCCTTGAGAGCTAAGTGAAGGAAGAAAGACTAGTTAGTCACCAAATAAGAAAATTTTCAGAGAAAATGAGTTTCTTTCTTTCAGTGAAGAGTTATCTGGTACACTAGGTGATAAGGTAACGAGAGAATTGTAAGTGACTAAACGACATGGTAAAGAGCACTGAACAAATAAATTCCAATTAGTATAACTGATGAGATCATAATGAAAAGCAAGAAAGAAAAACAGGAAAGAAAAGCAATGAATTAGGGTAGAATTTGAAAATAAATGGACCTAAAGATAAAAAGTAATTTGGTGGCTATTACAAGCAAAATAACAGCACCACTCAAAGTTGAAAAATCTACTCAGATGTTGATCTCCACATTGACAGGTTGTGCTTTCAGTTTATTCCGTTTCCCACCCACCCCCCCTCCCTGAAACAGCCTCTTGGTCTTCACATTTTAAATTACTAGTACACCATCTAGAGGCTGATCTGGGTACCGGCAAGTTACTTAAAAAAAAAAAAAAAAGCTAGTCTGGTCCCTCTTTGCTACTAAAATGAAGGCAGTTTCTAGCTTTGAGTTACAGGGTTCTCCATTAGCCTCACAACACTTATTAGTTTCTTTTCTTCTTAAAGAGCAAAGGGGCATAATTCAATGAAAACACAAAATATATAGAAAACAAAGTTCATCTTTTAGGGACTCTCAAATTCATGGCATACATAGAATATTCACACCCTCACTAACTCTTCTTAATAGTGTAACTATTAATATTCTAACATGGCCTTTTGAGGGGTTATTACCTTTTTACTGAAGAATTGCAATATTTAAACATACCAAAAAAAAAACACCTCACTGCCGTGGAGTTGGATCCAACTCATAGCGACCCCTCCTTAGGTTTCCGAGGCTCTATCTCTACGGAAGTAGATTGCTCAACCTTCCTTCCAAGGAGTGACTGGTAGGTTTGAACTGCCAGCCTTCTGGTTAGCATTCAAATGCCTTAGGCACTACGCCACCAGAGCTCCTAAATTTTGTATACAGATTTAATATAAAATATTAAGTGATAAAAACAAATCTTAGGATGCTTAGTAGTTTACAAGGGAAATTTACATAAAGGCTGTCACCTGATACTTACCATAAAGCACCCCTTACTTGGAAATAATAAAAGAATATTAAAACAAATATTAAAATGATAATTTCATTTCAGGATACCAAATGGTAGTATTCAGTCTATGTAAGTTCCGAACCTTGTCACATATTCTAAGCAATAATAAAACATTATTTATGAATTACAGTTTTTATTTAAACCAAAGAAGACTAATAGATGTTCAAATTCCCACTTCAGATCTCTAGTTCTTTTTCATGTTCTGATGAGTCTCTACAAACGTTGTGAGTACAGGGTAGAACCTGGTCCCAGTTTATCACTATATAGCACTATAGTACCTGATCAGTCATCACATATATATATTCTAACCATTTCCTTAAACAGGAACTGAATGATTTCATATCATGACCAACAAAACTAATAACAATTCATCTTTATGTACCCTGGATACATAGTTTGAGGGCTAAAAGTAATAATCAAAAAAAAAAAAAAAAAAAAACTTGACAATCATTTCCTTTACTGGTTCTATTTGAACACCCAATACCAAAACAGATCATTTGCTTTTGAAGACATTCTTCAAATGCTTATGAGAATGAGCACTTTTTCATAAAATTAGCCTTTCCCAGCAGATGGAGAACATTAATTAAAATAGACCACTTAGAAACTCTGGAAAATAAGGCTTAGGACGGAAGCAGCCAATGCCAGGTAGAGAGGGTGGTCCCACTATGCAAGCTCACCTGGCAGGGTGGGTGTGAGGACAAGCGCACGGAGCACAGTCACTGGCAGAGCCGGTCACCTTCCCATAGTACCCGGGGGCACATGTGTTACAGTGATCACCAGCAGTGTTATCGCTGCAGTTCTGGACCCCATGTTTCAAATGGAGAGGTAAACAATGGGAATTGGTTAGAAATCATTTGTATCTATTATAACTAGGCATCACCACATTTCATTGTTGTTGTTGTTATGTGAAGTCAAGTTAGACCCGACTCACAGCGACCCCTCTTTGGGTTTCCGAGGAGGTATCACTATGGAAGTAAACTGCCCAACCTTCCTTCCGAGGAGTGGCTGGTGGGTTTGAACTGCCAGCCTTCTGGTTAGCAGTCAAGTGCCTTAGGCACTACGCTACCAGCACTCCTACCACATTTCATATCAGTTATGATATGAAAGCTCTGGTGGTGTAGGGCCTAAGGCATTTGACTGCTAACCAGAGGCTGGCAGTTCAAACCCATCAGCCACTCCTTGGAAGGAAGGTTGGGCAATCTACTTCCATAGTGAAGAAAATCACCTCAAAAACCCAAGGAGGGGTCACTATGAGCTGGACTGACTTGACAGCAGTGAGTTTGGGTTTTTTATAGTAGGTCTCCAAGAGTCAGAATCAACTGGACAACAACCACCACATTTCCTATCAGTTAGCATTATCGTTTTAGTCTTAAGGAGAGGAGAGCATTTTCCTATTTTTTCTAAATCCTGGAGACATGTCCAGCTCTGAGGCCTTCACCCATCACAAGACTGCATTCATCTAATGCAGTTTAGAAATTACTAGTGCATTCTTCCTAAAGAAAATGTACACCATGCTCCTAGAACCAGCTACATTTCAGATCCTTAAAATATGGACTTAAAGTGCACAGTAACTCTCAAACCGATGCAGAAACACTGCTTTTGCACATAGTCAGGATTCAACAATCACATGTAGACAGTTGAAACTGCAGAAGCAAACAGGTAGATGGTTTAGGAAACAGACAATGAGGAAAGAAAGCTGATGATTTTACACCATGCACAACAGATTCTTGTGATAACCAAATCATTTCCAGTTAAATTTTATGCCATCATTTGGTCCTGCATACTCGTTATTTAAAAAAAAAAAAAAGCTTATACTTTTTATAAGCTAAAAAATAATGCAATTCTTGATATCTGATTATAATTTAAAATATGCTTTTACTCAGCTGACCACAGCTTCCCCTGCTTGCACTATGCATAGTACACTGGGTCTGGTGCAGCCAGGACAGAAAGACAGGAACGCTGAAGAGTGCCTGAGCAAACTCTCACACGGACGCATACTTTAACTCTTGGCAGTGAGGGATGATATAGAGAGAAATCTCTTTACATATTAAAAAATGACTTTTAAGTCCCTTTTAGATTTAAAAGTATTTCAGATTTTTTTTCTTCATTTCAAAATTGTATTCCTATTTCATCTGATGAAAACAGATCTGTCATTCACTTGGCCCCTAAAATGGATATCTCATTAGAGATAAGAGTCACGACCTTTTTTTATAAAGTACATGTAGTAATACTTGTTTTAATGATGTAACTTAAAGCTGATGAGGAATAAATATTAGATGATGAGAGAGGATTGCAGCAGATTGTCAGATTTTCCATTGCTAACATCAACACTCAACTGTGGTGTTGGTGATGAATACTGAATACACCATGGACTGCCGGAAGAACAAACAAATCTCTCTTGGAAGAAGTACAGCTGGAATGCTTCTTAGAAGTGAGAATAGCCAGACTTTGTCTCACATACTTTGATGATGTTGTCAGAAGAGATCAGTCCCTGAAGAAAGATATCATGCTTGGTAAAGTGGAGGTCAGGGAGAAAGTGGAAGACCCCCAATGAGATGGATTGACACAGTGGCTGCTACGGTGGGCTCAAGCATGGTAACGATTGTGGGATGGTGCAGGACTGGTGGTGTTTTGTTCTGTTGTACACAGGGCTGCTATGAGTTGGAACCAACTTGATGGTACCGCACAACACTAACTGTAGCAACTCTGCACAACACCACGAGGTTGCTGGAGAGTGATCCACGTTTAGAATCTTTGTCCAGACTGCTGGCAGTAAGTACAACCACTGTTTTGTGCTACCTATCTGATTAACAGGCCAGGGTGACGTCTCTTATGGCTCTTTGACAAGTTAAGCCTAACTATTCCCTCTAAAACAGAGAAACTGGCAGAGGGTTATTAGCCATGGTGTACTCTAAGGAGATTTTTTCCCTTGGTCTAAGGTAGTTTTTCATGGATTGGGTTAAAGAGTATTATGTTATTTCAGGGATACAAATCAACAGACCAGCTACTGATCTTACAACTTTGATGTAGTGGATTCAGGCCAAGAAAGGCAGGGTAATAGCTTAATCTTCTAGGAATAATTGATCTTGTTCAAACTGTTAGCTACACCAAATAAAGATGAAGTATGAAAGAACTTTCTAATCTGTAAACTGTCCATGTGACTGCATGATTGACCAATATAACTTCCCAGCTAATTGGATTTTACCTTAAGTTTCTAAAATCAATTTTCCCTAAACCTTTAAATGAGATCTTCGTATTTCCTTCATTAAGTCTTTGCTTTTGCCTGGAGCATAAGTTGATTAGAGTGAAAAATTTTTTCAGAAATGTTGCGGTTACTTGCAACTTCATTAAGTCCATTTTGCCTTCTATGACTGGAGTAATTCTTTAATCCCACATATATAATGGAATCAGCAAAGGTTAACATGTATGACTTTAATTGCAAAAACCATGCAGTGGTTCTGTTTCTAAATTCACTTGTGCAGTGTTATACTTTAGCATTTGATAAGTGGAAATTGCCCTTAAATTCCACATATCAGAGATATTTCTGATTGGAATAAGAGGAAGATGGATATAGCACGGTTGAAGGTCCACCTGGAAGCCAGTTTCCTCCCTGCTCTGTTCTGATTCTAACGGATTCCCTTGTGATTTAGGCCACACCTAAAGGCTTCAGGTGTGTCTTTCTTGGGAAGAGAAGGAATGCTCATTTCTCTACAGTGAATTACTTCACTGAAGGCAAGTCAGTCTTGGCATAATTTATGCAAATCACCAATGTTTCCACATTAGTTATTGTAAAGAATGAGATTTCAGGAGCAGAGAAAGAATTTCAGGAGTGAATGTTACTGGTAAGGCCTCATCAGGTTAAGTAAGTGAAACCATGGAAACAAGTGTTCCCAGTCCAGGCCACCAGGCCTCTATCTGGGTCTGCCTGGTCCTTTCCAGTGGGCAGTGCTCTCTTCATATCCCAGAGATCAATTTTGGTCTGGAAAGAGGTGACTGAGAAGCAAATGCATGTGAATAATTTGCTATATTATTATCCCCCAGGAGAATGTGCAGTTTTTAAAAATTCAAGGAAAGTACAATTTACAAAACAAAAACAATGATTTATCTAAAAAACTTCATCTCACCATTCAAATTATATGACATTGCATTATTATCTCCTGACTACAACTACCAGTACTGCAATTACAAAAAAGGGAAACTGAACTAATTCTCAAATTCACATCCACAATCAAATTTATGAAGGAATATCAACCAACGTCAGAACACTTAGCTAAGACTTTCTGAAGAAAATATATTCATATTTTATGTTTAGCCAAGTTTAAGCTCTCTTTAAACCAAGGAGCTGGGATGGCTATAGACGGAAAACTCAAATGCTCAGCTTCTACTTTAATTCGCCCCTCACTGTAATTCAGGCAAGCACCCATATGAACGAACTTACTAGGCACTTTCCGGTTTCTGGGTCACATGCTTCACTATGGTTGTTGCAATCACAGGGCACACAGGGAGTAATCAGAGGACGGAGTCTCCTGCTACCCCCTTCAGGAAGCTTTCCTCTGTAGTACCCAGGGGCACAATCCTGAAGAGACGTAAAAGAGAGAAAATGACATAAAAGATGCCCATGAGCTCTGTTCATCACTCGGAGTGGCTGCAAAACCAGAAAGTGGATTTTAGATGCAGCCTCCTTACCTGACAGGAGAATCCAGCTGTGCCAGGAGGACAGAGACAGTTCTCTAGATGGGAGGCTACCTCTCTACCCGGATGCAGCTCCTCAGCCTTTCTGCCAACCTCCATTGAAATGTTCGCAATTCTGTGAAACCATTTGTTAAGAAGTGAGAGAATAAATAGTAATATTTAGAAAAGACTCTTTTTAGAAATATTTCATGTGACATAATAAGAGTTACATATACCATATAGGAGCTCTGGTAGCATAGTGGCTAAGGCACTTGACTGCTAACCAGAAGGCTGGCGGTTCAAACCCACCAGCCATTCCTCGGAAGGAAGGTTGGGCAATCCTACTTCCGTAGTGATACTGCCTCAGAAACCCAAGGAGGGGTCGCTATGAGTCAGGGCCGACTCGACAGCAAATAACAACAACAACATACCATATTAAACCCTGGTGGCACACTGGTTAAAGTGCTTCGCTGTGAACCAAAAGGTTGGTGGTTTGAACCTATCAGCCACTATGTGGGAGAAAGATGTGTCATTCTGCTTCTATAAAGATTACAGCCTTGGAAATCCTATGAGGCAGTCCTACACTGTTCTCTAGGGTCATTATGAATCGAATAGGACTCAATGACAACATATTTGGGTTTTTGGTTTTATTAAACCAGAGCTTTTCTCCCAGGTCAGGTGTAGTTGCATTGCTACATGTGATTATAAGTGCAGTGTGCTCACGTACATTAGCACTGTCATTACATGGAGAAGGTTGTCAGCTGATATTTTAAACTTCAAAATAATGTTCATGAAAGCACACCTGAAAGACCTCCTCAAGTGCTGGTTTGGCCAAAATTTAGTCACTTTCTCTATGGGCTAGAGTATTAAATGAGCAGCTACTAGAGTTCTATATATATCTTTACAAAGAAATGAGAATTGTACCATTTAAGAGCAGAGCATAGGAGTGTCTTTATTCCTTTTTTAATTATCTTCATGCAAAATACCACAATTATGTACTTATTTTATATCCACATTAGCATGGAAGGCAGGTAATTCATGTCGTATTGCACACATCTCATTGTTGTTGTTGTTATGTGTCCTTGAGTCAGACCCGACTCAACAGTGACAACTCCTTGGGTTTCCGAGGCAGTATCACTATGGAAGTAGATTGCCCCATCTTACTTCCGAGGAGTGGCTGGTGGGTTTGAACCACCAGCATTCTGGATAGCAGTCAAGTGCCTTAGGTACTATGCTACCAGAGCTCCTACACATCTCATTAGGATGTTATTATTTAATAAGATTTTAGTGAGGAACACAGACACATGTAATAATCTAGTAGAAAATGGGGATGAATGAATCAAATCCTTTCAGTTCCATATCAAATAAGAAAAATATGTAAAATTCTAGAAGAAACTTCCACATGCCTGCTCTGCTGTAGTCCTTGACCATATGAGGCCTTGATGAGGATGTACTCAATGTTGCTAAGAATAGACATGAAGTCTGAGTGCGTTACAGGCTTTTCAGAAACAGAGTTAAAGTATTTCCAAAAGTTCTGTGAATAAGAAACACATTTTATTAAATTCAGAGTATAAATTCTCAGAGGCATATGAACGTACAAAGAACATGCTTCTTTTGTAAATTTCTCCAGAAACAAATGCATTTCTGTGTATGACATTAAGTTTAACTGAGGATGGTCTCCTGTGACCTCCATAGGGATAAGAACAGTGTCAGATTTACCTATTGATAGATACATATGACCAAAGACAGTGCCACCTGCAGAGAAAACACTCAATACATATCTGCAAAAGGAATGCAAGTTTCCCCAATTCAAGGGGGCCCAAAGACTTCTGTACATAATGTCCATGCAGGTAGAAGCTTGTGAGCCAAGATAAAGAATTTAAGATGCAGTTCTCACTAAATTAACATAAGCCTAATATACATTTCTTGAGAATATGAAATTTGAATTATTTCTAGAAATCTTGCTAAAGCCACTGGAATTTTGATCTCAGATTCTTCTTGCTCATTCTATTACAAGTGGCTTCACAATTTCATGGCACCGATGGTAAAATTTACATTAAAGAGTTTCTATGACAAGATCCCATCATCACCTCTTTCATCCCCACTTCTTGTTCCTGTCTCACGCCATTCTCAGGTGCAGGTGCATCCGTGTAAATCACTTGTTTTCTGGCCCAGCCTCCTTTGATGAGAACTTGAGGCTCAAAGTTAGAGGTGCCAATGCCATCCACAGAATAGAAGGCCACACTGTACCTCAGTCTGCCACCGTAGGCCATGAGCTATCCGAATAATAAATCAATATTTATTTCTGTAGCATAGAAATGGTTTAGAATCATTTTATTATAAGCCTGTTGACTTTTTAAAGGAATCTTGTTAATTAAATATGCAATTTTAAAATTTATCAAATGGGTGAAACAAGTATGGAATTTTATTCCCTCTAATTCTACTTATAGACTATTAAGTTGACCCAAGCTTCAGTTCTTCATGATGATACCATAAATGTAAGTTCCAAAATAACATATCAATGTAGTAATGATTCTAATTATTTTCAAGCTCCTTGAATGATCTCTATCTATAGGAGCACTGTATAGATCATTGTAAATTTTAAAGTTCAAAGTGAATTCATTCACAGACTCTAATGCTTATACTAATAAAAATAGAGTGATGCCTTTCAAATCTATTTCATAGGATGTTCCCCCAACTCAAATGAATGAAGATTTCTTGGGAAGAACCTCCTGGACCATAGCACCGATACTTATACTGAGTTTATAATAGCAAATACTTAAAATGTTTGTTAAATGACTGCTTTAGGAAGGAGAAAATCAAATTATTTGAACTAGATTTGAAGTCTCTTCTGGTTTGAAATTACATCTATACCTCCAAGGCAATGTGTCCTTGCTCCAGACTGAGCATGCACCTCACCTGATCTCCCTGGAACTGATCTGGCAGTCGCCAGTAAAACGGCTCTGCTTGAACGTGCTGCCGGACAGTCTCGGCATCCAGTAAGATGTCAGGAGCCTGATAATATACCCCCTCGGTCGTGCCTTCCAGGTTACTCTGAGAAACTACACGCAGAAGAGGCTGGTCTGGGGCCAGCATTACCTAGTCATTGAAGAGAGGAAAATTGCACATCAGAAGGTGGATTCACCATACAAGTTCATTTTTCAGATTCCACCATCCTTTCACAGATGGCACAGCTTCATTATTAAAATAAGAATAATAAAGGTATTTCCTTTCACTTGAATGTCTGGACTGAAATGAATTAAAAATGCTTTAAACTAGTAGATTAGGGCCAAATAATTGTTACATAATTTTCAATTATATGGAGAATGTTGAGATACTACCATTTTAGCCTTTCTCCAATTAAAGCTTTCGTTAGATTAGCTAAGGAGCAACACTGAATGCCTTTTGCTTAAGCTCTGTTATTTTTTCTTTTTTTTCCCTCTGACACCAGAAGCAGGACTTGGATTCATGTACTAACCAAAACTAAAACCAAAACAAAACAAAACCCACTGCCATTGAGTTGTTTCCAACTCATAGCAACTCCCATTCGGTTTCCAAGGCTGTATATCTTTACAGAAGTAGATTGCTTCATCTTCCTCCTGAAGAGAAGCTGATGGATTTGAACCACTGATCTTCTGATCAAATGTCTTACCCACTATGCCACCAGAGCTTCTTATCCAAAACTAGCCCATTAGCATAACTAATGCCATAAGAGCAAAGTTTAACATAAATACTTAACTGTCCCCCCAACCCCACTAAACTCCCAAGGGGATAACCAAACCAAATCCACTGCCATCAAGTAGATTCCAACTCTCAGTGACCCAGAGGACAGAGTAGAACTGCCCTATAGGGTTTCCATGGGTGTACATCTTTATGGAAACACACTGCCCCATCTCTCTCCCACAGAGAAGCTAGTGGGTTTGGAGCAGCCAGTGGGTTCAAACTGCTGACCTTTTGGTTAGCACCCTAATGCTTTAACCATTGTGCTACCAGAAGTCCTTCCCAAGGGGATAGATGGGTAAAAACAGAACATTTTCACTACATGTGTAACTTACTGGGATCCTCACATAGCCCTCCAATTCTTCACAGAACTGTGACAGTCCGAAACAGAAACACGGGGTGCACCCCACAGGGTTGTCAGCACTGAGAGCATAGGTGCCACTTTTACATGTGTTGCACTGAAGGCCAATAACATTCTCCTAGAGGGGAAAAAATAATTTACTCAATTTTACCTGAAAAAAGGAGAGACAATTTCTGAGCAAACAGAAACAAAATAAAGCACAAGCATTTTTGGATTAACAAACGTCACTGAACTACCTGTTCCCTTGGGCAAGATCCCTTACCTCCCTGAGCATTAGTTTTCTGGAAAACTCAATCCCAAACATGTGATTCCCAAACATGGCTGATTATCAGAATCATCTTGGCGACTCTTCAAAAATACAGATTCCCTGGCCTTACACTCATACCTCCTTGATGATGACTTCCTAGGGTGGGCCCAGGAATCCTCCTAGAGTTGAAGGTGAATTCTGATGACTAGTCAGGGTGGGGAAACTAAGTCTGGTCCCTTCCTGTTTTGCTCCTCTGTAATGAGTATTGTAGCATAGCACAGGGTAAGTAAAAAATATGTAGATTGATGTTTCATTCACTCCTAGGCAATGATATCTAAATGAGCTTTTCTTTTCCTTTTTCATCTCCAGCCACTAATGAATCCATTACCATCTGGCTTCTATCCCCTCTGCCATAAAGGACTACAGAAGGGAACTAGTGACCTCCTAATAACAAAAAGCACAATGAGAAAATGATGGAAATACACAAAATGAAAAAAAAAAAAAAGGCATTGAAATATTACCTTTCTGGAACATAATAGAGACTAATTCCCTTCAGTCTGGCCAGCACATACACAAGAATAATTAACTTAACAGCTATAAAATCACAAATCTTTGTGAAACCCTGTGTTTTCTATTCTACTTGTATTTTCAAGATAGATGACTACTCAGCCAACTGGAACACATGATAGAAAATTTAAGAGTGTTTTTCAAATCACTCACTTGATGCTTGAAATGAATAGTTCAAATTCCATTTAAAGAATCCATCCATGATTCTAGAAGAACATACTCAGAATTTTAACTCTAACATAGAAGGTAGTGTGAACTCATTTAGTGAGGAACCATTAAGAGAAGAGTCTAAAATCTAGCTGCTTATTTAAATAGTTAAAAACAAAGAAGGGTGTCCATGGCAAATACCTTGCAAGAGCAGGTACCAGTTTCCTCTTCACAGCTACAAAGACCCTGTTCCTTATCACAAGTGTCCACCAACGTCCCTCTCAGGTCACAGTGACAGGAAACACAGGCTGGAAAGTCTCTGTGGCCCAGCGAGCACTGGCGACAGCTTGGACCCCTAAAGGTGGACTTGCATTGGCAGTGGCCAGTTAGCACATCACACTGGTGACTAACGGACCCCACACTGCTGCAATTGCAGGCCTGAAAGAGAAACATCGAAATAAGTAAAAAGGCAGTGTTTAAATTTTCAAAGTGTACCCATATTGGGATTACAGGAAAGGACTAAATGTGGGGAAATTAAACAAAAGAGCTGATCTCACCCCCACTGTTTCTATGTGGATTCACTTGTTATGCATCTTTTGGATATAAGCACAGTGAGCCAAAACAGGGAACTCAAACTAATATGCTCAGTAGGTCAAAACAATCCATCACAATTATTTTAGGAATCAAGTAATTTTTTCCTGTTTTTAAAATACAAAATATTTCCAAGTCTTACAAAAGTTGCAGAGAAAATAAGAGCTCTTACAGATTGAATATGCTATTGCTGTTAGTTGCCATCAAGTTGATTTCAACTCATGGTGACACTATGTGTGCAGAGTAGAACTGCTCCATAGGGCTTTTACATTTGTGACCTTTTGGAAGCAGATTGCAGACTTTACATCCAAGGCACCTCTGGTTGGGTTTGAACTGCTAACCTTTTAGCTAGTAGTTGAGTGTTTAACCATTTCTGCCACTCAGGGACTCCTAAAGTTTGAACATAACCTCACAATGAAGTGATTTATACCTTTCTCCTGGAAGAGTGTATAAGTTGCAATATATATTTAAAAGGCATTTAAATAAAATTTTGACCTTTTAACTATCTATCAGGAGCCCTGGTAGAGTAGTGGTTAAGTGATTGGCTGCTAAATGAAAGGTCAGTGGGTTTGAACCCACCAGCCACTCCATGGGGGAAAGATGTGGTGTGTGGCAGTCTGCTTCTGTAGGGATGACAGCCTTTGAAACTCGATTGGGTAGTGCTACTCTGTCCTATGGGGTTGCTATGAATCAGAATTGAGTTGATGGCAATGGGTAACTATGAATTCCACAACTAAGATTTTAAGAAAACTTAGAATGTGTCGTCAGAGTGCTGCTTCTTCCATTTTGATCCCAACAATCCACGATAAGTTTTAAGTATTTACCACAAAGCTACTTAACAGGCAAAAATCAAGCAAATAGATTAATGAAAAGGAAGGGAACTTGCTGCAGTAAAATAATTGTCAATTAAGAAAACACATAGAGGACAGTGGACACCTTGCATCCGAGTTCCAGGTCATGGCTCCAGTATCCATCCTCACATTCTTCACATTTCAAACCCTGAGTGTGAGGAGGACAGATACACTCTCCAGATTCTGGATCACAAGTATTCTGAGTATGAGCACAGTCACAGGCTAAAATAAAGACAAATGGTTTTGTAACATGTCAGAATGATCAATGAAGAGCAAGCATGCATGTTACCAGTTACATCTCTTTTATTAATAATCTAAACCACTCTTCTAGATACTTCATGATTCCCAAGACCTTCTGTGTTTCATAGGAGGAGGCTATTCCTCCACGTTGGGAGCTCTGGTAGCATAGTGGCTAAGTCACTTGCCTGCTAACCAGAAGGCTGATGGTTCAAACCCACCAGCCACTCCTCGGAAGGAAGGTTGGGCAATCCTACTTCCGTAGTGATACTGCCTCGGAAACCCAAGGAAGGGTCGCTATGAGTCGGGGTCGACTCCACGGCAAACAACAACAACAACAACATTCCTCCACGTTAGGAAAGGCTGCCAGGAGAGGAAATGGGGATAGAGCAAGGGAGATTGGGAAAGACTTCATCACATGAACTGTACAAAACTAATATTTATCAAGAATTTGCTATGAGCCGAATGCCATGGTAACAACTTTACATACAACTTTCACATAATTCCTTGAAGTAGATTTTAATTATTGTCTTCATTTGACAGATGAGGAAACTAAGGCTAGATGAAGCCAAGTAATTAACCTAAGTTCACACTATCAGTAGGTGTCAGAGCCATGACCTAAAGCTAATACTGGTACCCAGAATAGGGGTCAGGAAATAAAGTATAAAATCCTACACTGATGGAAGAGAAAAAGTAAAGGAACTTAACAGAATTTAGCCAGAAGTCAAAGAAAGTCTCTGCTCCCCCACAAAAAAAGAGTTTAGGAAATACTATAAAGTTCCAAATAATGAATTCAAGAGCTTACGTGTGCAGCCACCATCCTGGTATGCATAAAAGCCACGTGCACACCTATCACATCTTTCCCCAGCCACTCCTGGGACACAGTGACATTGGCCTTCATCCGTGCAATCATCTGACATGGACCCTGATGTGCTGCAGTTACAGGGCAGGCAGCCAAGTCCTGTGCTCCACCCATAATATCCATTCTGTTTCATAAGACAGGAAGAACCATGGAGGCCAAAGTGTGTTTTAATATACAGTGAACACCTGTTAGAACGTTTTCTAAATGAAGCATAGTGTGCTTGGTTTTTTTTACTCCTTTGTAAAGTGCATAAATACTCTAGACATAGGGAAGAACAGCTTTCACCAACCAGGTTCAGATAATTATTGACAATCTTGAACTCAATTTAATTTGAATCCAAGTTAAGATATCAGTTATAAACATCACTGATAAAGGTTTTAATTTTATGCAATGACCAAGAGGTATCTTACCAAGCACTGGTCACACTGCTGTCCAGTCACATGTGGTTTACAATCACAGAGTCCAGTCTCAAGATGGCAAATATGAGACAGGGAACCTTTTTCATGGCATTCACAAGCTATCACAGGTAAAATAAACAAACAGACATTTAAGTATTTATTTAAATGAGTATGGTTATAGTAAAATCCTTTTAATTTCCAAAGGAAAAATGTTAAACATTAATGTTTTAAATTATAAAACAGAAAATTACTTTGCAATAATTTTTAGAATTTCATATTTTTACAGAAAGTAAGCCTAAGTAAGGTTACTGCAAGAAACCATCATAGAGAAAAATTATTGAAGCAATTAAAAGGTAATAATTAGCAAACTAATGTGACTGATTTAATGAATTCCTTGAAACTTGTGAAATCATCTCCTAATGTTGTTATTGTTGTTATGTGCCATCGAGCCGGCCCGGACTCATAGCAACCCTTCCTTGGGTTGCCGAGGCAGTATCACATGGAAGTAGATTGCCCCATTTTCCTTCCAAAGAGTGGCTGGTGGGTTTGAACCGCCAGCCTTCTAGTTAGCATTCAAGTGCCTTAGGCTCTATGCTACCAGAGCTCCTTCATTTCCTAATATATATTAGCAAATCTTCATCAAAAAACATGCAATAGAGATTTCAAAATGAATATAATCATTTGTTCTCATTCCAATTATGTATAAATTTAATAGCGTAAAGCTCAGTTTGGACAGTCTCAGTATTGTATATATCCATATTACATTTCATAATTTAATGAAAATATTCACCTATTCTATGTCATGAGTCATTTGTATTTCTAATAAATTTCTCTCTGGCCAAATGGTTTGGTTTTATCTTCATTGACAACACTGATGTTTAAAATTACAAAATCCTCCAACTCTTCAATGTGATGCAATTTAATGAGTCCAAGAAATGTTTAATCAATATTTGACAGTACCACTGTCATTATGCAGTTTTGTTAAAATAATTAATATGTTCATCAACAAATTATCCTAGGCACACATATTAGTTATAAATGCTTGGAATCAGAATATAATGAAATATAATTAGGCATAACAGTGTCAGGAAGGAAAAAGATAAACTTCAGAAATTATATTAAGCCAAACCCCAATAATTTTTATGGGACATACTGTATCACACACAGTGAAGTGTTGTGGGAATGGGCAGATGGAAGGTTTATGGTCAGAAGGGAGGTGTGGGAATTCTGCCTCCTTAACTGACTATGGCCACCTTGCCTCACCTTCTGTTTTCTCAAGTGTGAATGAATTAATGCTGGCAGCTCCTGTGCATGACCAGAAAAAGCTGTGGGCCCCATTCACTACTGCCCTTCAGGGACTTAACTCCACTCCTTCCTGTAGCTTAACTTTGCACACTCCACTGTCTCCTCAGCATGTAACTGTTCTCAACTCTCAAACCATCACAAATACAAAAGTAAGACACCCATACACCTTCTCCCTCTACTCTAAGTCTGAGGTTCTATCTCCTGGTCCTCCCTATCTTCTCTCTCTTCCTCACTCCCCTTGAGCACATCCATCCAATGGCACTTTTGCTTTCTGTACTTCTGGCCCTGCAGCTACTGCAACTGTTCTCCCTAGGTCTCTGGTTGCATCCTAGTTGCCAGATTCCCTCCAAAAAAGAGAAAAAATCTATTGCTGTCAAGTCAATTGTGACTCAGAGTGACAGAGTAGAGCTGCTCCATAGGGTTTCCAAGACTGTAATCTTTACAGAAGGAGGTTGCCACATCTTTCTCCTGTGGAGTAGCTGATGAGTTTAAACCACCAGTCTTTTGGCTAACAGCTGAGCACTTAACCACTGCACCATATATTCAGTCCTCAACTGACTGTATCTTTCTTTAGACTTTGGCACACTGACAACTCTCCTTTGGAAGCTCCTTCCTAATATGGTTTGTGTAGCACCTCATTTTCTGGTTTTCTTCTTATTTCTTGTGTTTTGACCTCTGTATCTCATGTAAAGCTTCCTTGTCCTCCAGGGATTCAAATATGATAACCAATTCAAATTCTAATTCAAATATAATAACCACAAGATGCTGATAATAATAATTAAGATTTACTATACTTTGTGTGTGTTATATTACAGTCAATAATATTTCATTTAATATTTTCCCTCCAAAGATTTGTATGGATTTTTGAACATTTTTTTTTTTTTA